CGGCCGACATGATATTTTCCATTGCTAGTAATGACACTTGTGAAATATAATATTTCATAGGAATTATTTCAAATTTGTTAAAAAACTGATTCTGACTGAGATTTTGACAACCTTACCGAACGAACGCATTGTGCGAGATGCGAAGTACAAAAATTAGAGAGGGCGCACTTTATTGACTGTATAAAGTATACATAAAAGCGAGAGTATTCCAGTGGATGCGATCTACAACCTCTGAATTTGCCTAGTAACGATGAATTCGTCGAGAAAATGGTAATATTTTATGAGAAATAGTCTGTATTTCTCATTTTTTTAATTCTTTTGCGTAAAACTAAAATTCATGCCAATGTTTTTCCATGATTTATAATAATTAGAGTAATGCAAATGCATATTTTCTAAAAAAAGTCAGTTTTTAGTGAAATTTTGCCGGGAAGGGGGCTTTAAAACATAAGTATTTAAATTTTTTTTTTAAATTAATGAATAATCAATTATTCAACGAAAAGAATATATTGACATCTGGTGTTAAGTACATCTATTTCAAACAGAGTGCATTTATTTTATTTCTGCCAGGACGTCACTTGCCCGATGTCCCCGACGACGATACCATAAGTGGGCGCGTGGTCGGATGTCGCTCAAAAATGAAGATTGGTCTATTGTATTGTATTACGAGTGTTAAATTATTATTTTCTTATTACTAATAGTTTCCATTGTTATTGATATTGATCATATTTTTTATCTTAACCCTCTGTACATCTCCGATAAAACTATTTGTTTTACTTCACGTCCTGCCCCTGTTGCTACACCATCCATGGTGCCCTTTTTTTTTCCTGGACTGCCCCTTTTTTTCTGGAACCCACTTGTGTAAATGTCTATATCCGCCCCTGCGAAGATAGGCGATTTACACAGTACAGTAATTTAAGAAAATATGCCTTTACTAAAACGTCTCATACACGCTTTGTGTGTAAAGTTGTGTGTGATTTAAATTAACAGAAACCATTGTTACATGTTTATGAATGTAACGTCATTTTTTCTCTACGAATGTGTATGCCAAATGTGAAATATAACGAGAATAAAACGTAGTATTTTGGGAATAAAACGTACATTGGTCGCGTCTGCCTGTGTTACAGCATGACGACGTATTCACTTAACACAGTGAATCATGGCGTCGGTCAATGAATGTGCTTGTTGCAAAACTCATGAAATGTGTTGTACTTGCAGATTTCAAGGAGAGCTAAGTTATTCAAAATTATTGAATAATGTTCCTAAATTCACACCAATAAATTTGGCAGACTGGATGTCTAAACAAGTAAAAGACTTGACGACAGCACGGAGCTGAACGTTTACAGTCAGGCCTCACTCAATCCTCACATCCAGCCATGTCGCGTTGGCGTGCAACAAGTGTCAGGGCCGAGGAGCCTGTAAAAACTCTACGATGTAACTTAATTTTACATGAAAATCAAATCAAATGTCTTCTGATAGTTCTATGAACCTTCCTTAACCTATCAATGTTTTAAAAAGTATCTTAACCGCATACTTTGGTTTTTTTTCTTGTTTTCCTGGACCATAGAAAAACTCGCAACGTTATAGAATTGTGATGACGTCATCTTTCGTCGCTAATTCGGACTATTGGGAGCGTGGAGAGCCATGGAGCAAATCAGCAAACAACATAAATGAGAGGAGGTCCCTGGTTCGAAGATTAAGAGCATCAGCTGCCAAGGATGATCTAGAATTTGATGACTCCAAAATTAAACTAACGAACAATTGATTTTTATCACCGCAATTCACATGAACGATGCTGCTGTTTGCCATAAACTCTCCATTTGATGGGAAAAAAAGTAATTACAAAGATGCTCCAGCGATTCCAGGTAGATGTACCAGTCACCTTTAGAAACTGAAACAGCGTTATCACCTCTCGCATGATAGCTATCTTCTTCATATGTAAATTTAGTCAGCTGGTACATAGCAATAATTCATGTTATGCTTCTGTTCAATGAATGACGCCCTCCTGCAGCAGGAAGGTTTCATCTATATGGGTGGTGGTAATACGTGTTTGTATATCTAGGTCTTGTTTGACCTTTAACCACACCTACAGTGGCTTTCTGCTGCTCCTTCATGTCTTTAATCTGTTAAGACAGATCATCTCCAAATAGATGCGATGTAGAATTATCAATCGCCTCTTCTAAAGGGTCGCCCACCTACACAGGTGAGGCGAACTTTGCTGCTAAAAAAGGAATTGGCTGCTCCGGTGGAGTGTACTCTCGTCATCCTCATATTCATAATCGGCCTCTGCCAGTGAAGTGGCAGATCATTCTTGCTATCAGTAGTTGGAAGTTGCCAAGTGGGCAGAGCCTCAGGCATTTGTCCCATCAGTTTCTCTAAAATAGTACCATCACCATCGTCAGTACTTTTCAAGGTTTTCAGATCCAGGCCATTTCTTTTTTGCTTGCTGGCGGTGTTGCTCCCACCGCTAAGGCTAGGCCTAGCAGTAGTAGTAGTAGTAGTAGTACTAGCTCTTGGCGTGTCAGCCCACGTGGATCTACCGCTAGTACTAGTATCATTAATTATCAGACCTAAAACTTTAATGATGTCCGATTCGTTGTCTGACATAGTTATGATAAAGTATATTTAAATCGGTATGCTTTGAATTTCGTAAATACGCATTTTTAGCCAATTTTTAGTTGTCAAAAAATTCTACCGTGCACCTGCTGCGAACGAATTGCCTATTCATGCGCAGAGTAGTGGGATCTCATGTAATTTCTCACAAAGAATTATGGAATAAAATTGAACATCAAAGAAATGTGGGCTGTGTAATTGGGTCTGACAAATGATACCCAAATGAAATGCAATTACCCAAATCAAAAGCCAAATATAAAAATGGAATTACCCAAATGATACCCCAAATGAAACGGAATTACCCAAATGAATTGAAATTACCCACATGATAGCCCAAATGGTTATGTCATAACCAAACTAAACATCAAATATGATTAGTATCCAGGTATAACAAACAACTATAGAATTTATGACAACTTCTAATATAATGGTAATTGGTATTTGATATAGCGCCTTTTCCAGAGGATACAAACTGCTATAGAATAACTGTACAGTAACTCGTTTTAATGACTTTCTTCTCCCCAAAGGGTCTTCATGTCTGAGCTAGGTAAACCGGTACCAGCTACTCTCGTCTGCCCATTACAGGGGATGTATGGACTGGTACACTGGGGTAACACGCTACTTGTCTTGAAAGATGTACTGAGTTCTTTTAAGTGCACACAAGACAAATTCTAGCTGGGCCTACGGTTTAAATTAATTACTTGTTCCTCCACCAGAACCATAGACGAGTGTGCTGTTTGAACCAGTGCCGACATTATGGTCTGTAGGTTGCGGCGCTCCTGCACCAATGGCTCAGACATGATTCATTAGTATTTTTAAAGTGTAGTACACCGTTGAAATTTTTTTGTATTTTATACTATTTATTCTGTTAATAATTCTTGATGTTTAATACATTTAAACATTAGACACGCCCATAGTAATGTACAGGCAGGGGTGCTACTAACTACAGCATTAACATCGGCGCTGGTTCCAGGCACTCCTCGTCCAAAGTTTGTTTGGTAGAACCCAGTCTTCTAGTATAAGGATTTAAAATGGCGGTCCAATGTAGGATGTTTAATCAGTGAGATGTAAAAAATCTCCCTGGTTTAATAATCTCAGGTCTAGAATTTTTTTAGAATATTAAACAAATAACCATTTGTTACAAATGTAATCGTTAAATCATCGCAGCCATATATATTATGTTCTCATTTTAAAATACTGATTTTTTATTTATTTTTTTTATTTTAAAGGCATGCATTTTAAAATCCACAAACAATACTACACTATAACCAATTATACAGCAGTCAGGTTTTGAGTACACTATAGGAAATAGAAGCCAAATAAGCCATTATTTCCTGAAAAAATTTTTCAAGGAAATAATGGCTTCTATTTCCTATAGTGTATAAAATTATTTGACTATTCTTTACAAATCAGTTGTGAGGTCCATCGACTTTTCTATTGCCACTTAATCAAACTGCTGGTTGTAGAGCATTTGCTATATATTAAAAACAACTCGCGAAACATGGCCACCAAGGATACCTAATTTGGGTAGCTTTCTGGCCGTTTTTTTTTCCTTTTCATCCAATATCTAGCGTAGAAAAGTAAATTATCGTGTTTGTGACATATAGAAACTCTGTGTATGGAAAATGAGCACCTTCTTGTCAGCAATTTCAGAGGAGATAGGCAAAGTTCCAGAATAAATATATACTGTAGATATATTCAGTGGCACCCAGGGGTGGGGGGGGCAGGGACTTAAACCCCCCATCAGACAGGTCAAGCCCACAAGCTAGAGCTCGCCGGGCAGTTGGACCAAAAAAAAAAAAAAAGAAGAAAAATAGGCCTACACCAAGGCAACACATGTCTGTCAGTCTGTCAGTCTGAGCGTACTGTACAGCTGTTATGCATAATATTTATTGTTTTTTTCTTCACTATCTGACTTTCAGTGTCTTCTTCATCTAGGTCCACTACTTTGCTCACCTTGGCCATCTTGTATTATTTTATACGAATACAAGGATAGTAATAATACAAAGAACTAGAATCCTCCTAATCTTATGTACTGTATTACAATGGTCTGTCGCTAAGCTTAAATGGAGTGATGCACCTGCAACTTCATCACAAATTTAGTTTAAAACGTCTACCTGTAAGTAAAATTTGGGACATTATGCAACTGAGTATGTTTTAAATCAGTTCTCAAATTATATTAAATCGGTAAACGTGTCCTTTAAATGCAGGACACTTGGCAGGTCTGACGATGCCATGCTTAAATTCAAGCATGTACTGTATGCATTTTTTGGCTCCTATAGATGGGATAAGCAAAGGAACCAAAAAGGTATTGATGAGATAGTTAACATTAATGTATAAATAAAGGATACTGCAGTTTGTTCCATCTCAGACTTTGTAAGCTTCAAATCTAAAATATCAGCAGCTAGTTTTTTAAAGCATAAATTTATCTGCAAAAAAAGCAATGGAAAAAGTTACTGAGAGTTGTTAAGCTTTGAAAAAACCAAATCTGCATGCAGGTCAAGTGATTATTAAAAGAGGATACACTGACTGATTGTAGAGAGCGCAAGCAACAAATGAACTGTGAAATGGCACATAACAATACTGTATATGCAGTAAACATTGATTGCTCATTGTGCAGTAATTTTAAGGATTTGACATGCACACTATCATCACTTTCTTTTAATATCATACGTACCGAGTCACCAGACTTCGCCGATACAAAATGGCTTAATAGGCTATGTTCTAAACACAGCTTGTTGTGCCTGTCTACTTGAATAGCTCTCATGTGTTCTAAATCGACTGCAAAGACATAAAAATATAATATTTGTAAAAAGATTAGTTTTCTAAATTATTCTCTCTTTTCTGTTTACAAAAAGCAAATAAAGGTCCAGCATTATGCACTACTTGTGCATAATGCACATAATAACATCATTATTTTGATTTTAATATTATTATTACCGGTATTATAGATTATAAATACAATTGGCCTATCTCCATTTCAACAAAAGAATTGCGGTAGAGCTAATATAGTAATGCAAATATATATCGACTTGTGTTTAAATGTATTTCTTTGGCTACTGAAGTTTCACGCAATATGCAATCATCAGATCTGAATATGCAGGTAGATGAGTGTTGTTTTAATTTAGAACACTGTATCTTACAGGTATTGGGCATAGATAATTGTGGAAAATGGATGTGGAAAAGCATTTTTGTGGTATTGGGCATAAATAATTGTGGAAAATGGATGTGGATTAGCAGTTTTTGAGTATGTGTTTGTGATTGTGACAGAAGGCAGAAATCAACTCGGTTTGCTTGCTTAGTGCTACTAGGTACAGCCCCCAAGTTATCGAGAATATCCCTACCAACATCAGCAAAACATTTCTAAACGTTTCACACATAAACACTTTCCCCCTGCAAATCTACTACACAAATTATTAAAAAAAGAAAAGAAAAAAGCAACGTAAAAGTTCACTCTTTCCAACCTGCTCTGTCATTTTCAACATTTTCCATCCGAGACATTCACTTTCCATTTAGAAAGTCCTCCACTCACGTTCTAGAGCAACCAACTCTTCGTTTCCCCTCAAGATATGATTTTGGTGTTTATTTTCTTTGAATTTGTTTTTTTTTTTTTTTTGTAAAATTACTTCATTTTGTACAGTACAACCATTTAATTATGAGAATACTCCATAAGCACTTTCTTAAGCCGAAATGTGTCTTGCTTCAATTCATCACTTTTGTTTACTTTCCTGGTCTTGTGTCTGTATAGTCAAACTGATATGATAAGTGTGTTAAATTGCCTCGGTTTAGTTCTTTATGTAACTTCATGAATGACACTCTTTCCTTATGGATCTTGTTAATGACACCATCTCCTTCATTCATTTGTTGTTCTGCAATTTGTATTTACTGTTGCTGCAGCAAATTGTGCAAGTCTTGAAGCTTTTTAATAGTTGCATTTGTATGTAGTTTGGCAACACAAGTGTGATACTGTACCATCTGCCAAGTATTCAAATTTTGATGTGAATCTCCAATATACTGGTGCTGAATTGTTCAGTTGTTCTCTTCATTATCCAGTCTATTACAATCAGGAAAATAAAACTGGACATGTCTCCTTGCTAAACTCCAGTTTAACTTTGAACCAGTGAGACTCCTCATTCTCATGTGTTTTATCAGTGTTTTTTTAATTTTGTGGTGTTGTGTGTTGTTCCTTTTTTTTTTCTCTTCTGTATTTTAAGATAATAATTTTATCTGTATATATTGTAAACTTCTCGCAATTCAGTATTTTACTGCCAGTTGAAGTTATTAAAGAAATCTGAAAAAATCTGAAATATCCAGCACACTCACTCTTCGTACAAAACCTGAACCATTTTATTATCTTCTTAGTAATTCTATATACAGCCATATTAATTTTCAACAGGCTATCACAATGTACAGAGTCAAATGCCTTTTCGAAATCAATTAAAAATCCATGACCTGTTCAATTTAATATCTCAAAATGAAAATTTGCTCCAGTTATCCTACCTCTACAAAACCCAATTGTTCGTCTCGTAGCTTTCTGTCTATCAGTATCCTTCTAAAAATATTACTGGGAAGAGTAAGGCCACTTCAATTACCGCATTCTGCAAAATATCCTTTCTTAGGTACTTGACAATCTGCCCCTGTTTCCATTTTTTTGGAACCTTTTCGTTTTTCCAAATATGTTTTAAAATGCTGCCTAACCATTCTTTAGTTATACTTACACTTTTTTTTTTATAAGAACACATTGTATAAGAACAATGAGGCTAAAATTGCTTAAAAATTAAGAACAAAATAAGAACAAATTGAGGCTCAGGTAAAATGTTAAATGAAATTTTTATTCAAAAATACCCAAAATTATAGGCCTAGCCTATTTGTACCTTAAGCTCAGTTGGAGCCATTTTTAGCAGGGCCTTTTTTCTCGGGCCATTTTTTACCAGGGCGACTTATATACTGTAATACTCTGAAGTTTGAAAAGTGTGTAAAATAAGAACAAAATAAGAACATTTTGAGCCTGAAATCGACCAAAAAATAAGAACACTGAGCCTGGGCCAAAATTTACTGGATCTTATATAAAAAAAAAAGTGTATGCCTGCCATTAGTATCTCCACTGTAAGTTCACCCCTGCCTGCTTTACCATTCTTCATCCGCTTCAATTCTCCAATTTCACATTTTTGTTATTTGGTGCTATTCTATGTATTACTGAGTCAAGCACAATCTCATTTACAGGATCACCAGGCTCAGGATGATTTAAAACTTCCTTAAAATGCTCCCACCATCTCTCATTTCGGGTACACTCTATCACTAAATTTCCTTTTTTTCTTTAACAGTGACTGTTGATTTTAACTTGTCTTTGCTATGGCTTAGGTAAGTACTTTAACAAAATGGCACAGTCCACCCCTCCTCCTCCCCCACCTGTTATAAGTAGACTAGCCCACTCCTCAATGCTGGTAGTTGATTGGCTATCCAAAAATAACTGGGTTGAGATTTCTGAAACCCACCGCCCAGGGCGTTTGTTGGTCCAGGTTAGGCTCAGGTAAGAGAAGGTGTGCAGACCATCTGACAAGTTAAAATTGGGAAATCCTATTTAGTGTTTTGTCACAGGTAGGACCTGTTGTAATTCTAAATTATATAGAACTCAGAAGTCTAAGACACAGTCTGGGACAGACCTACATATTAGTTTCAATTCCAGTGTTCACTTGAACCCGTAGGCAGCTGCTGTCTGCTCCGCATATACATAATTGTATTGTGCTGTTGGTAAATGGTATAAGTTGTTTAATTTAAATAAATGCTCTGAGACTAGAAATCTGTAAGTTAAAACTGGGACTGCCGGGAATCTGCCACAGTATGTACAGTACGCATCTTTAATCCACCTTTCAGGGTAGTGACGTCATCTATATAAGGTATTAAATCAACACATTGGGTATCAAACAGTAAAGTTGTACTGTAAATGTTTGTAAATCATGGTCAGACTCTGTTTGCTAAGTAATTTAATTGAGAACATCAATTTTTCAAATACAGATTCACTGCATAGGAGCCAGACCAGGTTTTGTGTGCAATTTGAGGTGCAGAGAATTTGACTTCAGAAATTGGTTCAGGGTGGTCCAAGAATCATTTTTGGCTTGGTAACACATTTTCAAAAGGTCAGGGTCAAAGCTCAAAGCTATAAGGTCCTCGTGTCTCTGAAACCACAGGTGGTAGGAAGTTGAATTTAGTACTGAATTGTTCGGAACATGCATATTTATATTTGCTCTAATTGAACATTTTGCTAAAAAATGACCGGAAATGCCGTTTCTGACCTGGTCTGGATCCTAGGGTATAAGCACTATTTCAACTACCATAATCATCAGAATAGCAGTAGAATATATATACTGTATGGGAAATGAAACACAGTACACCTCCTTCACCATCAAGTGAAACATGGTCCAACAAGCACTCTTGTACACCATCACTAAGTGTTGTAATCTATGCTTAGCTGAAAGGTATTATATCATTTTATCGGATAAGAGTCGATTTTTGCCTGTCGTCATCTTTAACAAATACCTACTCAAAAATATACCTGGGGCGGATTGCTATAAAACGGCCTTAACTGGTAGTCTTTGCACCTCGAATAAAGCTGGCTTTTATCACTTAGATGGTCTTACTAAAGTCACTCTGCTAAGACCATTCGGCTACAAAACAGTCTTCGGTTAGACTGCTTTGAGTATTAAAATGCAAACAACCACTTCCTGGTAACATAAAATTGATGGCGCTGCTACGCTTGTTCAAAACATGCATATTTATCAAAATGAAGGTAATATAAACATAGACCGTTTTTACAGATGCTGAGAAACTTGCGGAATATTCGTTGTTCGATTCTTAGTCTTTGAGGATCTAGGCCTGGGTTTAGTCATGGAGGTATAGTACAAAAACGCCATGATGTAAATGTTTAGATGTTGACTAGTGTATAGATGACACAAACTCAACAGCTAATTTTGAATATACTGCAATTTATTAAACAAATGAAAATACAAAGTTGAATATCAAAATTCGGAGAGAGAAAACAAAGTGATGCTTATCCTATGAAAATGGGAAACCAACTGACCTATACAGTAAGTAGGGTTTTTTTATAAATTGGAATCAAAGGGGAGTGAAAGGTAGGTCAAGTTAACCTGTGCATACCAATGTCATGACCAAAACACATCAGTTGTCACTGGTATTAGCAAAGCTAATAAATTGGGCTTAGGTAACTGTACCAAGGTTTTTACCATTATAGGTTAGAAATACTGAGAATTCATATGGGATAAAAAAAATACAGGAAATAAAGTTCAGTACTGTACTTGAATGATGGTAATTTATAAATTTAAACATTACAAATAAAAGTCCAATATTAATAGATGCTACAATAGCCCCCTTCTAGTGAGAAGGTAATGAAAAAAAAAAAAATTAAATTCGAACGACATGCAGTCCCAAAATGTTTAGGAAAATGTACATGGCGCCCTGAGTGTGTTGTTCTAATGTTTGGTTGTGTTTCAAGAGCTGTACTACAAGATGGAGTTTGTGTGGGCATTGATTGTTCAGGGATAATATCCAAATGAGCACATTTTAAGCGATCAATAGGTACATTGTCTTGTCGAGTTCCAAGATCAACTTTAAAATGTTTTGGTGTTCGCGAAATAACCTTGAATGGACCATCGTATGGATGCTCTAAGGGTTTGCGTACTGAGTCTCGTCGAATAAAAACATGAGTGCATGTGTCCAGATCGTTTGGTATGTATGTTTTTGTGCGTTTGAGTACGTGAAATTGG